AAGAAAGAAAGAAAGAAAGAAAGAAAGAAAGAAAGAAAGAAAGAAAGAAAGAGAAAGAAGACAGACGGATGTTGTTTTCAGTTGCAAAACAGTGCAGAGAAAAAGGTCGCTTCCCTGTTGTCATATCAAGTTATGGCTCCAATCCAGATCACCTTGTAGCTGTTTTATTGAGGAAAAATATGTAAAGGTTTTTAAAAAAAAAACAGGATTGAAACCAAATTTAACACATTTTGTTTGTTCTCAGGGAGACAAATTTAGAAAACATTATGCCATAGAAACTTCAGTCTAAATTTTAAAATATTTTTGTAGATGGTCCATTGACAAAAGTAGCAGGTAAAATCATGTTTAGTGGACATGTAAAAAAGCCAAAAAAATGGATACAAATACATGCATGAATTCAGAAGATTTTAAAGGTTAAAGTACAACTGAAACCAGAGACTCTTCTTTTGGGACGAATGGACAAGCAATTAGAAAAAAGTCATGGAAGTTTGTTTTTATATATGCAGCAAGACTATTATATGCTCACTATCTACAACAGAGGATTGGTTGGTGAAGATGGAAGTTGAGGAGGTGGCTAAATTAACCTCTTTGATCAGAGAAAAAACAATATCTACATTTATGGTTGACTAGAAACCTCTAGTCTTTTTGCATGAAACGGAAAAAAATGCACTTATGATTTGTGGTTTTGATAATTAGGAAAAAAATGGATAATAGAAAAAAGTAAGCTTTTTTGTAATCATAGAGTAAGAGATAATTTTGCAATTGTACTTCTATTTGCTGCAAAGGAAATTGGAAGCTGCTTCTTTTTCTTTTTTTCTGCACTTTTGTTTTTTCTCTCTTCTTTCCTTTCTTCTTTACTGTTTCTACTCTTTATTAGTTTGTGTTAATTTTTATGTGTTTTGTAAAACTCTTAATAAAAAAAATTATTCAAAAAAGAAAGTAGCAGGTAAGTACATTCTGATCAATATATTCTCCAACTTCAGTTATCACTATTTTTAGACTTTTAACATTTATGAGAAGACACATCAAGTCTTGTAAAGAGGTGACACTTTTCTTTTAAAACAAACCACGCATGCATTACTAGCCTTCCAAATATCTTGCTGTATTGGACCACAAAGAGTAAACTAGAGCTGGTAGGTATAAGCTCTAAACAAGTCATGCTGCTGGGATATTAATCATTTGGAGCCTTTCTCCACTACTCTCATAAAGTGTTGTCTGACCATTCTTGAGTGGGTACAAAGGAATTTTGCCATAAAAATGGTTCTCCCCATTGCTAACCCCATTCTGCCTCTTTTGTATCTGTTTGGGGTCACCACTGAATGTTCTAATTTGTGAGTAATATAGGCAACGTCTTTCGTTGGTGTTATTGATATCTCCTTGCAGCTTATCACAAACCAGTGGGGAAGAGATACACCAATCAGGGCCCTGCAGCAGGAATGTGTGTGCGTGTGTGTGTGTGCACACGCATGCATGATTTCAGAACTTTGCCTTCTCTAGGCTAGCTTGCCCCTCCTCTCACACCTCTTTGGGCATCTCCTGAGTATAATAATGTGAAAGAAAGAACGACACCAATCAGAAATTATCTCAAAGAGGAGGAAGGCAAACCCTGCTATGACTACATATAGATGAGTCCTATGTCAGTTCACAATGACTGAAACTGACTAGATCCTAGAGAACTGCCTCCATTATTTCAGGGAGGTGGGGATACTGAAAGTAACAAATATAGGGAAACTAGCAGATTAAGCACACACATGCCCCTTCGTCCTCAAATGAAATAGCAGTTTCTTCTCGTCTACCTTACTGGGGGCAGGGGAGGTTGTGGTCATGAAAGAAGCTCATGCCTTTTCTCCACCCGTGGAGCATCTCCCAGCATCACTCAGCCATTGCTGAGGAGACAGCAGCTCGTTCTCGTTACTGTTCCATCAGCACTATAATTGGATGGTTCTTGAAGATGCTGTAAGTGGCTAGCATAAGAATGGCTTTGAGAGAGGGCAAGAGAGAAATAAATGGCTGTGATGGAGGTTGGCTAGTGACCACAGGGGAAGGGTTGTGCCTGTACCTATCATCATTCCCAAAATACCTCCCATCATGCCCAAAACATGATAATTGGCAGCAAAATGTAACAGATTTCATGTATATACATTGCAAATATATATATATTTGACAATGAATAATGTCAAAGTATGGAGGAAAATACAACTTTTATATTGTTTCGGCCAATTGCCATTTAAGTCTGCCTCACTCATGGGATAGCAGCTGGATAAGGACATTGTCATGGGCACAGGAGGGAAATTTGTGTGGTCAGACTACAGCTCTGCTGAAGTTAAGGGCAAACAGGATAGGGCCTTAAAAAGTCTCCAAAGCAGGTAGCAGACCCACTCCAAAGGCCACATTCAGGGCCCGGAGGCAACCCTGAGGTTTCAGGTTACTCACCTCTGGGATAGAATCTAAAATTTGGGCCAGTATCTGCTATTTAGAATGTTGGCTGGAGTCCTAGAAGTTGCAGCCCCAAATCAACTGAGTTGAGTTAAAAAGACAGATTGGGGCAGTGTTGTCAAAACTTGGCCACTTTAAGATGAGTGGACCTCAACTCCCAGAATTCCCCAGCCAGCCATTG